ACACAACTAATAGGTGGCAGAGTCTGACTAAGACCCGTGGCTGCTTGATGTTACCACCCCTGTGCAGAAGCTTGCCATGGGCTCCTTGACTGCAAGATTGTCCGAGCCCCTGGGTGCAGACGGGGCCCAGAGGTGGGGGGCTGGCCTCAGACTCCCTGCCCAGGTTGTTTGCTTTCACCTAGGGAGCAGCACGGTGTGGGTCCTGGAAGCACTAGGGCAGGGGTGACCCTCTCACTGGTCACCTTGGCCACTGGCCTTTGCACCGGGGAGTGGGGAGTAAAGAGTTAACTACTTCTCCCCTTGATGGGGCTTGGGGTTCAGAGAGTGCCCAGGGCTTCGCCAAGGGGCTGCCGGTGAGTGTGGTGCCCAGCTGGTTAAGGCAAACCTTCAGCCTGCTCTAGACTACCCTTGAGCCCAAGCTGTGACCTAAGTGGGGAGAACCCCACCCCGCCGCCAGAGTGAGAGTCCCAGGGGAGGCTCCGAGCTAGGAAGCAGGCCCCCCACCGTGGCAGAAAACCCCGGCAAGCGCCAGCTGTTGGGGGACAGATGTTGGGGGAGCGGAGAGCGGAGTTTGGGGGGAGGGGCCTCGGGCTGGGACCTCCGAGGCAGGGCGTTTAACCTCTTAATTGCTGGTTCGGTTTTCTGACTTCTCCTGAGGGCTTGCCTAGGAAGGAAGAACAGTGGGTAGGAAGGGCTCCCTCTCTGCCCCTTGCGGGTGCCCTGGGCTCAAAATAAGTGAACTCCGGTTTGAGCTCGGCATCCCGGCTCACTAGTTTCACACTATCGGCCTTCCCAACTTGAGCTTCTGTTTCCTCAGACAGAAAAGGGGTAGCTTCATAACGGGGTAGGGCTTATAACGAAACTCCAGTGGGCTCTTCCGTTGAACCGCGTTCTTCCGACATAAAATCACTGCGTGCCTGCTGGGGTCCAGGGGAAGGAGGCCAGGAAAAGAGGTCCAGGGCGCACAGCTCCTTCGCCACCGCCAGGGTAGCAGACAGATATTTCTGCTCCTTTCTCTGCGGAGGGGGCGCAGAGAAGTGCTCAGCGCTCGAGCCCGCCCGGTTCAACGTGTGCAGGAGCGCGCCTCGGTCTCATGCCTCTGCACCCCAAAAGCACCTTTCCCCCCAGAAGCACCTAGTCTTGGGGTGGGGATCGCAACGCCCCCTAATCCCTCCGGCACTGCCTTCGCAGCTCTCCAACTCCCCTTTCTTGAAGTTTCGTTGTTTCTGCTGCCGATTTCGTTGCTTCCGGAATCGGCCGCCGGGGTTTCACAGCCCGCCTGGATTCTGTGGGTTTGTCCGAACCTCGATCCCTAAGACTCCGTGTGACGCTGGTTTGTGCCACTCACCCCTGGCTTGAGCGAGGGGGGGGGGGAAATGCCATCGCTTATGGAGCAGCGGGAAATGCCATCGAAACTGCCTAATGACCCCCCTCAAGGATCTGCACAGAGGATTTCGTTGACTGGGTCGAACCATGGCCAACTGGCGGACATCGGGAGATCCTGGCATTTGGGGTGACGAAAGGGTGTGAAAGTTCTTGAGAGGTGACGGTGACGGCCGCCTCTGAGCGAGAGGATGGGGCTCTGTGAGCGTCCATCCTAGCCTAGATTCAGAACTGTAGCCGGTGTGGGGGGGTCCTGGGGTGTGGCAGGGAGTGCGCGGGGAGACAGGCGCCTCTCTCGCAGAACACAAAAGGAACCCTGCAGAGCGGAGCAGCGACCGCGCTGTACCCTCCGACCTTTCACTCTGCAGAGATCACAGATCAGACCCGCAGCCTCTGTCCCCTGGTTGCGGAAGGCCAGAACCTTCCCTTCCCTGGTGCTCAACTCCTTGATAACCACTCCCCACCTCTGGAAGGGTCTGGATCTCAGAGCTGTGCTGGGGATTTTTCAGAAGCCATGACCCAGACCTTGAATGAGACTGCGGCAGCCCAAGTACCTTTCCTGGGCTTTATGCCCTGCTGTGTCTGCAGGTTCTAGGTCATTTTGTGCCTCCGAGGACCTCGGTCCGGACCCACCTTCTCTGTGGTCCTGTGCAAGTGACTTGCCTACTCTGAACCTCTTGTTCTACTTGTGCAAAGTGGGTACCCAAAGCCCCGCCTGAGGGGCGAAATGAACGGTTTGCATGTCACTGCACAAGGTGGCTGCTTCATCCTCCTGGAGACCAGAAAGGGGTCCCTCCCAGTCTGGACACTACTTTTTGAGGGGAGGCAGCACCAGCTTGCACCAGGACTGGGGCTGGGGGGCAAGGGCGGTGTCCAGAGTGGCTTCCTATCCCCTTTACTGAGGGCTGGGAACACAGATCCCCGGCTACCCAAGATTCTCCCCTGAGGAAGCGGAGTTTCCCAGGTCAGAAATGCTTCTGTTTAGGGGAGGGGTTGGCCTGGCCAAGGCACACACCCTGACAGCATACCTTCTGCTCCTAGTCTAAGAGCGGCTTTCGGGTTAAGTCTGGGAGCCGATGCTGCTCCACCAGCAGTTGCATTTCCCAGGGCAGGCGTGACTGTGCCGGTTCAGAGGCGGGAAGGTTCCTGCAGCTCTCACAGACTATTCTGCAAACTCCTGGGGCCTGGGGGTGGGGGTGCCTGCGCTGGCCCTGGGGACTCAGGCAAATCTTCTAGGTCCTCTCCCAGGAATTTGAGACGTGGCTGGGAACACCAAGGAATCTGCCTTTTACAAACCAGTCTGATCAATGCGGAGAGAGTGGTGCTGGGTGCTGGGGGACCCGGAGGGCCAGTGAGCGGACCGTTTGCAGTCCTGGACAAATGCAGTTCGCAGTTCGTGGGAGAGTGCTGGGGGGGGGGGCTTGGCAGCCTGGGACTGACCTTCCCCTTTTCCCCTTGGGCTGCCTGGGACTCTTGCGTGGGTAGGGGGTGGAGGATCTAAAAGAAGGTGAGGAGATGAGTCGGAGAGGGTGTATTTTTGGATTTTGTAAACTCGGAACGGCTTGTGGACCAGGATTGTGAAGGTAGAAGGGAGCCAGAGCAGGATTTTAAATGGAGCAAGGACAGGATTTAATGTGCTGGGGGCAAAGCTGGTGGCAGGCACAGGGAGAGCATGGCAATGGAGACTGGCAGTAAGGGGTGTGTGCTGGGAGCCTGGCCTTGGGAGGGCCTCTGTGACCCTGGAGAGGAAGAGAGGGACCCTGAGAAACTTAGGAAACTTTCATCTGTTGACTGGCTGGATGTGGGGTTGGATGAGGAGAGGGAAGTGTGTATGATGTGGGTTTCTAAGTCAGGTTTTGCTTGAAGGGTGGCACCAATCCCAGAAAGAGTGTGCACCAGAGGAAACTGAGGCTCAGAGGACCAGGATGGGGTCACTGGGTTCACTCACTTTAATAACACACTTTGGGTGCTCTGGGGTCAGGCTTGGGCTGACTTCTTGTTCAGGGGGTGGACCTCCAGGGTGCGGAGGAAGCCAACACCCAAACAGCCTCACCACAAAAGGGGAGAGAGGGGGAAGAGAGACAGAAGCCAGGCAGGCTGAAGGGGAAGAGAGCAGGTGGTCTGGGGTCCTTTTCTAAACATTTACTGCTAGAACATGTGTGGCTTGAGTCTGGGACTAGCTTTGTGCTAAAAAGACTGCAAAGCACTAAAAGAATCCTGGAGTTAGTGTTGTTATTTCAGTCTGCTGAAGGCAAGGAAAAGGAAGACTCGGAGAGTTAAACAATTTGCCCAGGGTCACAAAACTAATAAGTATATATCTGTGCTTCCGAGAGATTCCGAGCTTCTTTGCAGCTGAGTACAGTTTACTGTCTCTGCAGCCAGACTAGCTGGGGTTTTCATCCTTGCAAGCTGTGTGACATTGTGCAAGTTACCTTACCTCTCTGGTCTCCGTTTTCCTTACCTGCAAAATGAAGAGTATTTGGGGCAATCAACATAAAATGTGTTAGAATCTTGCTGGACATGTGATCAGTGCTAAACCATTCGTCTGTTATGATTATTTTTCCCTAACACATTTTAACAAGCAGACCAATGGTGCATTTAAAAATAAGTGACTGTTGTAGAAAAACCAGAAATCTCAGAAAAGCATCAAGAAGAAAATAAAAACCACCTGCCATCTCCCCTCCTAGGTGGGCACTTGACTGGGGGAGAGAGAAGGTGAATACCAGCAAAGGGAAGTTCGGGCAAGAAGACTTTGGGCTCTGGCAGCCCACTGGGTTGCACGGGAGAGAAAGGAGCCAATCTAAATCTTGCCACCCTCTTTCCTGCCCCACGTTCCCCAGCCGATTTGGGACCAAGTGCGCGCGATGTGGCCGACAGATCTACGCCAGCGACTGGGTTCGTCGGGCGCGCGGCAATGCCTACCATCTGGCCTGCTTCGCCTGCTTCTCATGCAAGCGTCAGCTGTCCACGGGCGAGGAGTTTGGCCTGGTTGAGGAGAAGGTGCTGTGTCGCATCCATTACGACACCATGATCGAGAACCTCAAGAGGGCTGCAGAGAACGGTACCAACCCGCCCGCCCTGCACCCAGCCAGCCCCCTGCCCCCAGCCCTCTCCCAAGCTCTGCTATATATATCACCTGGAGGCAGCGTGGGGATGGAGCCGCCCCCCCCCCAATGGAGCTTACCCTTCTGGCTCTGCCTTTTGCTTGGGGAGTCACTGCTGGTCCCCGAAACAGTTTCCTCTTCTGTAGAATGGGGTTAATGATAAGACAGACCTCTCAAAGGCATCGGAGCCCTGGTGTTATGAAGCCAGGTCTAATCCCTGGGCTTGAGTCTTACATCCGTGCAGCCCACCCCTCCTGTTGGTCTGGAGGCTCATCAGCTCCTGCTGCTGGGAATCAGGCTTGGGCCAGTTTTAGGGGGATGATGTGACCCTATTCTTCCAACACCCACCTCAGTAGCTCCAAGCCAGAGATAAAGGGGTGGGTTGTCATCCTGGCCTTTGGGTCTGGAGATTTCAGCTGTTTGTTTTTAGTGAGTCATGTGGACACATGAAGTTCCCTTTCCTCTATGGCCTCAGATCCCCCATCTGTGCAAGATGGATGTTGGGTTAGGAACATCCCTAAAGCTCCTCTGGTTCTTGTGATCCCACCATGTATGGGCCCAGGGTCCAGGTCTTCTAGGGACTGTGAGGGCACAGGTTGTGTCGGGGCTAGAAGGGGAGAATGGAGACTGAACCTGGAGGCTGAACCTGGAGGCTGAACTTGGAGGCTGAACTGAAGCCCGAGGCCCCTTTCCAGAATTTTCTTGTCCAGGACTGTGGAGACTGCTACTTCTCTGTAACATGGATTATTTGATGTAATCTTACAACAACCCTGGAGGCAGATGGTGTCTCCCCATTTTAGAGATGAGGAGACAGGCAGAGGTCATCTTCAGTATGTGACTTGCCAGAGGTTAGACTAGTTGGTCTGGTCTGCTGACTCCAGAGCCCAGGCTCTTAACCACCATGCCCTACCACCCTATTTCCAAACTCCAGAGTATTTAAATCAGAGCTCCTTGAGGTGGGGGAGTGGATGTCTCTCTGAGTTTCATTTTCCCATGGAAGAACCCCAGTTCAAAAACACACACCCCTGTCCTTCCTTTTTCTGTTCTTCTAGGGCCCCTCACCCCATGAAGTCCCTTGGGGCTCCAGGGGTGGGCTTAGGTAGGGAGCAAGTGAAACAGGGGTGCTATGGAGATGTCTGTAGTGGGGGCAAATGAGCAGTGGCACTTAGGATGGAAACCCAGGAGGCCGGCTCCTCCCACCTTGGGGGTCAGTGAACCCAGGCTCCTCCACAACTGAATCAACCAGGACCACCCAACCGCTCTTACTGTGAGACCCACCCCTAGGTTCCTACCATGCAGAACTTGAAGGCTCAGTGCCTCTCATCTCCGTTACCATCAGCCTGCAGTTTTGGTCACGGTTTTACTTTTGAAACTTAAACACACATTTATCACTGGAAAATGAAACACAGTGATTAAGAAAAAGAAAGAAAAGAAAGGTCACTCCAAAGGCTACCACCTCTGTATTTTACTGTATATATATATATATATACATATATATATATATATTTATACACACACACATACATACAATATATATGTATATAGTATATATACATATGTATGGATATATATATATAGGATTGTTTGACTTTTTATAATTAAAAAATACAATAAATTGTGAGCAGTGGAGCAGTCCTGGTGATTTTTATTTTCTTCATTGTGCTTATCTTAATTTTCTGATTTTTAAGAAAAATGAGATCTTAAAATAAAATTGAAATTTAATTGTATGTTGGTTAAAAGAAATAGAAATAGAAATGGAAAGTGGATATCTAACAGTTAACAAAATTAAACCTGAGAGAAATAAGGGGACTTAGGATTGTTGTTTAAAAAAAAATCTCAAAAGTCAGAGAAATATGAAAGACACAGTCTCCAGCATCCTATTTCTCCCAGATAATCCTTGACAATCTTAACGCAGATCTTTCCAGACTTGTTTATTCCACCCCTTTACAACGTTGGGATCCCAGTTCTGGAACCTGCTTGCTTCTCAGCAGCACCACCCGTCTTTATTTCCCCAAATTTAGCTCTCAATAGAAGGGAGCCCGATTAGGGGCGCAGGGGTTAGTCAGCCTAAGGTCAAAATGTTCTGGCATTCTTTTCTCTGAACTTCACTTTTGTCATATAGCGAGGATAATGTCCTCTGATGTGAGTAAAGGGAGAAAGAAGTCTTCTACTGAGCAGATTGTCAGAAATTAAAGCCCCGTCCCCAAAGACCAAGTTCAGGGACTAGGACCGTGGGATCCCCGCTTCCAGTCAACTCCGCTCCTGACCCTTCCAGGGACCAGCTCCCCCCACCCCCGTCCTTTCCAGGCAGCCACTAGAAGAGATGGGGACGCGTGGTCAGCCGCTTCTGTCGCCCCCAGGGAACGGCCTCACGCTGGAGGGGGCAGTGCCCTCGGAACAGGACAGTCAGCCCAAGCCAGCCAAGCGCGCGCGGACTTCCTTCACGGCAGAACAGCTGCAGGTACCTGGGCCCGGGACGCCTGTCTGGGCGGGGGCCGGGCTTCAGGGTGGGCGGGGCTGAGCGGGCCTCTTGGCCCCGCCCCTCCGCCAGATCCCGAGGGAGGAGGGGCGGGGCTGTAGTCGACTGGGGCGTGGCCTCCGAGCCGGAGCGTCTGATTGGACCCGGATCTCGGGGACCTCCGCGCGCGGGTGCCTTACCGCCCCCATCCCCGCCGCCGGGCAGGTTATGCAGGCGCAGTTCGCGCAGGACAACAACCCCGACGCGCAGACCCTGCAGAAGCTTGCGGACATGACGGGCCTCAGCCGGAGAGTCATCCAGGTGAGGCCGGGTCTGGCCGGCGGGGGGCGGGGCGACCGGGTCTGGGGCGGGGCCTCGGGCCTGGCGGAGCGCCCTGGAGCGCGTAGCGGGCTCGGGCGCTGTGGCTCCCGGGCCCACGTGGCCGCCCTTGCTGGGCAGGCGACGAGGCAGTTCCTCCTGGAGTCGGAGCACCGCGGCGCTTCCCACCCTTTCCCGCGAGGCTGAGGCTGCTGAGGCTGTCGTTCCAGGTGTGGTTTCAAAACTGCCGGGCGCGTCATAAAAAGCACACACCGCAGCACCCCGTGCCGCCTTCCGGGGCGCCGCCGTCCCGCCTCCCCTCCGCCCTCTCCGACGACATCCACTACTCCCCGTTCAGCAGCCCCGAGCGGGCGCGCATGGTCACCCTGCACGGCTACATTGAGAGTAAGTGACCTCGACCAGCGACCACGTCCAGGGCTCCCAGCCTGCAGGAGAGGGGGACCGTGGGGGCGGAGATGAGGTCTGGCAGACCTGGCGGGTGAGGGCATGGATTCCACTATCTGGAACCCAAGTTCCTAGGGCTCTGCTCTTAGTACGGGCAAGCTGCTCGGCCTTTCCAAACATACTTAACAAGCACCCACCTCTGCCCGGGCCAGAATACTAGGAAGAAAGCCAGATGGGTACAGTCTTGTTCTGCTAGAGCCTGTGCCGTGGTAGGGGAGACTACATGGTGAGACCCAGTAATGGGTAGCAATCAGTGAGCTGTAGGAGTAGCGAAATGAGAAGGGCAGGAGCTTTGGCAGCAAATGTAGGCAGGTGAGGGTGCGGTTGGTTGCAGAGGTGAGGGTGGCCATATAGCCAGGCCTGTGAGGCCTTGGGCAGATCGCCTAATCTACTTGAACCTCAGTTTCCTGACTTGTAACCTGGGATGTTCATAGTGCCAGCTCCGAGGGTTGGAGATTCCACACCTGGATTCAGTAACTATGTTCTGTGACCTGTGTCCTAAACACTCAGGTGCCACAGAGAAGATAATAGACCAAGCGTGTGCTCTACGGGCCACTGTCGGGTAGATGGGTGGCCAGACAACAAACTGATCAAGGAGAGAGGCTGGCATGTCAGAGGGCCCCCAGCACCGTGGGGGACGTGGCCTGTGGGTCTTGCTAGTGTGACCTGGAGCAGGAACCTGGACGAGATAGGAAGCGGATGTGTGGATTTCTGGGGGGTGAGCATTCGGTGACTATGGAGTAGGTACCGATCACAGCTTTTTAACCCTTTGAGTTCATTTCCCCGTTGATTGTTTCCTCGGGACAGGGCATGACTAGAAAAGTAGAGTTGGCCACTCAGACTCACAAACTCAACTCCTTCTCCAGCTCCAAGTAAAAGGGAAAGAAGGGAGGCCAGAAAGAGCACAGTGGTTTACCGAGCTCCTGCTGGGTGTCAGTGTGCCAATCGTGTCTGTAAACACCCGAGGCCACCACCCCGTGGTGCCCGGGAGGTGAGCGCGAGCAGGGTTCATTCCTTACTATCAAGACTGCTGGGCTTCACATCCCATTTCCGCCACTTACTAGCAGTGACACTAGGCAAGCTTCGTCTTCCCTGAAAAGGAAGAGCTACCCCAGTACCTGTCTTCGGGGCGGTGTTGAGAGTGTCACTGGCTTCGAGTTGACAGCGTCAGGTGAGGTCATTGGCTTCGAGTCTCCAGCGCCTGGTCGGTTCTGGGCTGGTCGTAGCTGCTCTCGTGTGGTGGGGCTGGTGCTGCTTGCCTGAGTGAGGAGAGTAGAGGCCTGCCTCGGCGGCCAGCTGGAAGCCGCGTCTCTGTCCTTTTCTGTCTCTGAACCATCTGCTCAGTAGGAGGAACTTTTTCTCCCTTCCCTCACTGAACAGTGGCTTGTGTTCAGGCTGCGAAAAGCCATTAAACATCCAGTTTATCTGGCAGAGGCTGCAGGGACCAGCCCTCTCTAGGTAGCAGGGTCTGGAAAGCAGCCCTTGTATGAAGCTGGTGCTGGGATGTGGCTGAGTCCCATGGGACGGGGGCATGGTCTCCAGGGCCATGCCTGGACTCTGCCCACATGCCAGGTTGGCCATGCCAGGTCTGTCTTTGACACGAGACAAACAACTTTGCTCTTCCCCTTGAGGTGGACCAGCTTGAAGCAAGAGAGTAATTGGATCTGTCATATCCTGCTATGAGGCTGAGGTCGCCTGAGAGTTAGGATTTGCTGTAAAGGCACAGGGTCTTGAATTTTCTGAAGGGTTTAAGCTGGGAAGTTGATGAAAATTTTAGAACCAGAATTTTATTTTTGCACTTTGTAGTTTAAGGTTGTCGCCAGATCCTGAGTTGTCCGAAACCTTAGAACTTAGATTTTGATAAGAAACTCTTGGAACCAGACCCCAGGAAAATGCACAGACACACATAGTTTTCTGTGTGATCTTGGGCTGTTCTTGAACCCCGGGGACACCCCAGGTCACGAACCCCCCCTATCGAATCTGATGGTAGATTACTGGGGCTTGGTGGTGCGTGTGGTGAAAAAACATACTGTTAACAGCAAGGGCAACCTTATATTCTTGATATGTATATGGTGCTGTAAATAAATTTATAGCAATAAATATAACAAATAGAACTGTAAAATGGGTTAGAAAAAAAACTATCATCTAATTAAAAAAAAAAACTCATACAACTATTATCCTACAGATGAAGAAGCTGTAACTCAGAAAGACACTTATCCCAAATTACATATCAATTATAATCTCTCTGTCACCAGCGAGATGAAGTGTAGGAAAGAGGCGTCATGGACTTTTCACAAAGGTGGTAAAGAGACTGCCGCATGAGAGATTTGGCTCAGACGCAAAAGGGACCTTCTCCAGCAGCTGGAGGGATTGGCATAGGAGACAGAGAGGTGTTAAACAAGCCACAGACTTCTGTTGGAGGCCAGGCCTCACTCTAGCCCCTGGAAAGCCCTGAAGATCTTGAATCTAGAAAACAGACAAAAATCTCCTCTCTCACGGGATCTTGCCTTCTAGTTGACAAAGACAGGTAGTGTCTATAAACTATGAAAATAGACAGTAAGGGCCCGCCCTTACTGAGTCCAGGCTAGGACGCAGCACTGCAAGCTCGCGGCAGCTGCTTCTGTGTGCGTTCGATCCCCTCCCCGGAGGTGACCACATGGCGCGGCAGACCTCTCCTGTTACCCCCGCTAACGCCCCTCAGCAGTGCACTTCATCAGTCGGCCTGTTCTGCTCCCCACTCTGTCTCTGGTGAATCCTCTCACCACCCTGCCCCTCTGTTCTGTACCCCAGTTTTGTATGCATGAATAAATAAATCTTTTTTTTAAGATGTATTTATTTGTGCATACAGAATTGGGGTACAGGCCAGAGGCTCAGGGGTGGTGAGAGGATTCACCAGAGACAGAGTGGGGAACAGAACAGGCAGATTGACGAAGTACACTGCTGAGGGGAGCAGCGGGCGGGCCAGGAGAGGTCTGCCATGCCATGTGGTCTCCTCCGGGGCAGGCAGGAATCGAACTCATGCGGAAGCGGCTTTAGCTTCTTAGTGCTGTGCTTTAACCCGCTGCGCCACCAGGGAGAGCCCCGAATAAATAAATCTTAAAAAGAAAATAGTAAGTGAGATGATGGAAAGTGCCAAGAAGGAAACATGAAGCAGGACGGGGACGGTGGGCGGGTGCTGGTGTGGGGTTGCCGCGTGCTTAGTGCGGGCAGGGGGCGTCACAGGCATCTCAGGGCCAGGGCAGAGTCCTCTGCGGCGTGGGGGCCGAGGCCGAGGAGGTTAAAGCCTTGCCTGTAGGAGACGGTCAGCCCGATTCGCTCATGAGGGTTTGTTTTCCAGTGAGCTGGACAGCGTCCGATAGAGCCCTGTGAAGACTGCACACCCAGCCCTGTTCGGGTTTTGTCCTGGGGCACCTCACTGGTCATGGCAGAGGTGGTCCCAGGGTTTTCCGGGACAGGTGGGATCCTGGTGAGACTGGCCAAGGACTCCAAGGTATCTTCTTGTCCACAGGTCAGGTACAGTGCGGGCAGGTGCACTGCCGGCTGCCTTACACCGCGCCCCCCGTCCACCTCAAAGCCGACATGGACGGGCCGCTCTCCAATCGGGGTGAGAAGGTAAACGCAGCAGGTGGGCTCTGGGTGGCCTTGCATCGGGCGTGGGTCGTGCTGCTTCTCGTCGAGAGCCGTGCTGGGCCCCTTCGAGCAGGGCCTCTCTGCCCAGCACACGCGAGCCCTAGCGTGCCCCGGGCAGCCTCTCAGACAGCCCACACCCCGTTGCAGGGTCACTTTCCATGGCAGGGTCCATTGCCAGTGGCCTCTTTGCAGCCCCCAGCGGTGGGTGGTCTTCTCTTGTTCAGATTTGTGAATTGAGCTATTTCGTGCCCATCGTGTGCTTCATGGGCGTCGCTCACTCTCATTCCTCACTTTCACTTCTGTCTGGTGGAAGTGGTCTGCAGCTGGGGGGCGGAGGCCAGGCTAGCAGGCCAGCATGACCTTGGTCTCCTTTGGGAGTCCTGGTCACTCGCTGTCTAAAGCATTAGGCACCAGAAGGTGCCTACGTCTCCCCATCCGGGCTGGGAAGCTTTGTTTCCTGGCACAGGGGCCCTCTCCTCAGTCTTTTCTCTGACCCACGTGCCGTTGAAAGAGGATGCACTTGCAGTGGGAGGCTGCCGGGAGTAGGCCCCCACTCGCTCTCAGCGCCAAGCCACCTCTCAATTAACCTCGAAAGCCAGTGATCTAAGACAGCCTCTCATCTAGAAACAGGGAAATTGAGGTCGAGGCAGCACCAGGCAGGGCGTCTGAATGAGAACCTGTGCGTTTATTCATTCACTTATTCACTTACCAGCCCACACCTGCCTTCTGGCTCACGTGTCCTGCAGCCCCGAGGAGTTTCCAGGAGCAGAGATGAGGACAGCTTGGCCCCTGCCCTTGAGGAGAGCCCACATGGCTCTCGAGGAGCCTGCGCCACTTAACATGACAGGCACACAGGCTTGGGGGCGAAAGCAGCGAGAGGTGAGCCTCAGCTGCCAGGTAGAGGAGTCCCGACTTTGTCCTGGGGACCCTGGGGGGACCTGGAGATCTCCTTCAGAAGGCCCGGCAGGGGGGCACACCACGGAGAACAGGCCAGTGCCTTGGAGCTGGAAGTGTCCCCAGGGGCCATCCAGTCCTGTAGAGCGGGGTTTTGGTAAGCCTCAGAACCACGGGGTGCAGCGGGAGGCGTGTAAAGACCCAGAGCCTCTCCCTCAGGAGCTGGCGGGAGGCCAGGGGTGGGGCCTGGGTTCTGGGCGCGTAATGTCTAGTCTGTGGGATTCGGGTGGGCAGCCAGAGGCAGGGGCCACTCTTTCAGGACTGCCCCTCTTACTCCGCCTCCTGACTGCGCACCTACTGTGTGCTGGGCTCAGGGGAGCCAGCCCTAGCAGCACAGATAGGGGTGTGAGTAAATGCTAGCCCTCAACGCAGAGCCCCGCAGAGCCCGGGTGGGTGGACGGGCCCCCAGGACGCATCCAGCCTCGAAGTTGGAGCAGCTGCTGGTTGAACAGCTGCTCTGCTCACAGCAGGTGCTGTAGGCACCCTGTCTGACCCCTGCCAACCCCAGGGCGTAGGAGCGGCGTCTTTGTGGGAAAGACCGAAGCTGAGGGTCCGAGTGACATGGCTTGCCCAGGCTGCATGGACATCTGCACAGTTCAGTGCTCACTTCATTTCATGCGGCACTTTCCCGGGTACCCCGTGCTCTCTCTGGACTCCCCCTTCATGCCGTCCCGGGAGGAGGCCAGTGGGTGATTCTGCCTCATACCTGCAGAAGCTGAGGCTCAGACAGAGTGGTGTGACAGGGCTCACGTGTGGGCATGGGGGGTCCAGTCGAGGGTTGCCCTGGCCCGGGACTGCATGGCAGCTGGCACAGTCCTGCCCTCCAGGAGCATGTAGGTAACCAGCCACCCCCAGGGCGGCAGGACCACGTGGGGAGGGCTGCCCCCTTGAGGACCCAGAAAAGCAAGTGATGAGCTCTAGGGGAGAAGCAGGAGGTGAGAGGGGCATTCTGAGTGGGAGGAACATGCTTGGAGGCTTGGAGGAAGCTGGGGTTAGGAGCTCAGAGTGAAGCTAACAGAGGTCAAATAATCGTGGGCTGGGCCACTGACCAGCAGGGCTTTGGGCTTTATCTGGAGGGCAGGAGGGAGCCAGGGACCTCTGGAGATGAGCCCTTGTCTCCCAGCTGCTCAGCTAAGCTTGTGGTTATGTCTGGCTCAGGTCATGGATGAGCCAGTCGGGCCTGGCAGTGTTGGCGTGGAAGGTTCTGGCCCAGCCTTTCGCTGCTGCGCCAGAATGCTCTCTAGTTGGGCCATGTCCCTAATTCTGCTCTGCAGAAGCCTCTCTCCCTCCTTCCAAACCGCCCTCCCTCCCTCTGCCACTGCCAGGGCACCCTGCCAGCTCCAGGGGACCTTTTCTGGCCACACTTGCCAAGTGCCCAGGGCCCCGTGTGCTGTCTGGGGCAGTGCGCGGCTGTGTGGTTTTCTCCCAGCTCCTCCAAGCCGGAGGATCCTCGACGAGGGTGGACCCTGAGCCCCTCATCAAGACCGGCCTGGCCTGGCCAAGAGAACATCTCTTAGCATTCGGGCCAGCGCCCTCGCCTTCCACCCCATCATAGTTTGGCCACACACCCTTGTGGTTTTCCAGAACCACGTCTCTCCCTGTCCTTGTCTCCTAGCCCCATACTTTCAGAAGGCTTGCAGAAATCAGGGCCGGGCAGTCCCTGATAAGATGGGGCGACCAAAGCTCTCCCCTCTTGGGAGTGTTTCTCTTAAGCGCCCCAAGCTGGGCATCCCAGGGCCTGGGAGCACATGCCTGTAGTTGGGCCAGGCCACGCTGCGGGCGCTCGGGAGTCAGGCCAACACTGAGTCCCAGCTGTGCCCTGGGAGCACAGTTAGCTTCTCTGCGCCTGCATCAGCAAAGGGGTCACAATGATGGCTCCCACCACCCAAGGCTGTGGCCAAGAGAAATGCAACAACCTCTGCCAAAGGCACAGCACAGGGTCTGGCGCAAGCTGCCCCCTGCGGGCTGATTATTCTCATTACTATCACAGAGATCTTCACCACGGCTTCCCGTATGGGGTGCCAGTCTGGGCAGGTGACAGAACAGCCATAGGACTCTACCCACTTGATGTCCCTGGACCCTTTGATATGTCCTTCTGACACTTGCTTAGGGAAAGTCACATCTCATTGACCAGAGAGCAGGTGACCCTTGACCTGAGCTTCAGGGAACTGGCGTGCCGGCTGCCGTGGGAGCTCAGCCTGGCATACTGGGCGGAAGAAGGAGCTGGGAAGGGACACAGTCCGATGGCTCGTGGTGCGTCAGCCCCGGCACCGCCCCACCTCCCCTGGCCGTGTGCAGACGGGGGCCACCAACGTTCTGGGCCATGGCCTGGCACCTGGTCCCCTCCAGCACTGCTGCCATGGTGACCTTGGACAGCGCCGTGTTGCCAATAATGACACCCGCTGAGCCTCAGAACCTGCGCAGTGCAGGCTTGACAGGAGGCGCTGGGCCCAGGGCCAGCATCTCACTCAGTATCCCTGTCTTTAAGGAGAGGTTTCGTCTCCACAGTTTTTCAGCTGAGGAAACAGGCTCTGGGGGTGAAGTTACCTGTGGCTTTTAAGTGGCAGAGGTGGGATTTGAACTCGGGTCTGGACCCGGAGCCGCCCTTGTTCTCTCCATGGCTTTGAGGGCGTTGAGGCGCAGCCTGGTGGGGCGGGGCCCCCGCTCAGCCACCTCCCCACCTCCTGTTGCAGGTCATCCTTTTTCAGTACTAACGCTGCCGGCTCTTCCACACCCGCCCGTGGGCGCCCCCCAGCTGCCCCCCAGCTGCTGAAATCCAGTGTCCGAGCCGCTGCCAGGGATCCACCGGCTCCACTTTCGCCCCTCGTCCGCCGTCCTGCCCGAAGCCAGCTGGGCCTCCGGGCCTGGCCTCCCCCTCTCCTGCTGAGCCTCAGAACCCGCCAGGAGCACCACAGAGAGTCCCCGCTCGGCAGGCAGGCTCCCTGAAGCTGGGAATCAGAGTGAAAACAGCAGCCTGAATTTCCCACGTAGACGGGAGTCGTCTTCAACTTCAGCTGACTCAATAGCAAAAGGCCCAGCGAAGTGCGTGATGCCAACAGCCTTCTCATTTGCAGGTTTTCTTTCTGCCCGCATTGGCCTTTATTCACTACTTCCTTGGAACCATCTCTGAATTCTGAATAGCCGGCAACCCCCAGTGTTATCCACTCCGTTGCTTTTGTCTGGAAAACTCTACAGTGTTTGTGGGATGTCCCCAAAGGAAAGCTATGTTCTAATTTTATCATTTCCATCTGTCTGGTTATGTCAAGTTAATTCAGAGAGAGAAGAGACACTGACCAACCCTGAGAGGCCCAATAGGGCAGAAATGGAGGCCTGCCCAGACCAGAAGGTGGGGGGATAGGTGGGACCAGGAATGGGGGGGGGGACAGAGACACCCCCCCACCATTGGTTTGGAGATCAAGAAGGACAGGTCATGGGACTGGGAAAGGCACTAGTCATTTTAGGGAGAGGAAAGAAAACCAGGACAGGGAGGTGAGACCCTCGTCCCACCTGCATCCTCGTCCCACCTGTGTGGAGACGTGGCAGAGACGGTGTTTGGACAGGCTGATGGCATTGTGGTTAGGATCGGGGACCCTTTTTGGCAACTTGTTGACTCCTGATAGTGGTGCTTAGGCAGGTCTTTGGGGGGACCACTCCTGGAGAGCTGGGGAATGAAGCCCTGGGAAATGGCAGCGAGAATGTTCACTCTGGACCCTGCTCTGAGTGGAGAGAGGGTGTCTGCCGCCTAGCGAGCATACAGGATTCCAGCGGTCCCCTCTGGGATTCCCACCAGCCCTGCCCCGAGCCCGCCCACCCCTCCCGGGACCAGCGGCCAGATGGCTGAGCTCACATCCACCATAGCCTGCTGCGACTCTCCCATCGCGAACAAAAGGGCTTGGGCTACACAAGGCCACCATTTATGTTTTCAGGGGACGCCCATGAGTCCTAAGCTTATCCTGTCACTTTAGGAAAACTTGACGTTCTAATGCATTTCCCACTAGGGGCTGCTAGAAAGCGCTTGAGCCCAAATCCTCCTTCCCTTTGGTTAACCCGATCTGTGGCTTTTGGAAGGAGACGCTAGGACCGGGACAGCGAGTTCATGGTCCATATGCCTCGGCCGTCCCTCTTGCTGCCCTGGCAGACATCGCAAATCTAGAGCAGCACTCTGTCTCTCTGAGTCCGGATAAGGTTTCAGAATTCAGATGCTTGCAGTGGGCACTTAAGATGAAAACCTGTACGCCATTTTGCTCTGGCACCTGGAGGACTAAATCTGGCTGCAGCCCAAGACGGGAACCTGCTTGCTGCAGGTTCTAGCTGACTCAGGGCAAAGGGAAGGCTCTGCTCAGCATGTGGTCAGCACAGCTCAGTTCAGAACTCACCCCCGAGCCGGGTCACAGCCCTGCACTGGGTGTCCATGCTAACAGGAGTCGCTTGGGCCTGCTCCCTGGCTTTGGGGAGCTCTAATCTCGCCTTCGACTTTTGCTCCTGACCACCCAGTGTGCAACCATATGGTAAGTGACCAGCTGCGCCCTGCCCGGGGTCACCCAGTACCCACTCTGCCTTGAGCCTCCCCCCGGGTCTGTTCCTCGCGTGGATCACGTGGCCGTAGCATGTTGCAGTCCAGACATGTCTCTACTAGCCTGTTAGCGCAGCCTGGGAACGCACAGGCCATCAAGACTATTTATTTAAGTACAAAACAAAAGGGGAAAACACACACACACGGAAAAAAAATTGTAAGCACTTTTTTGTAAAACCAATGTCTGTTTTGTTACATACCTTTCATGTTGTGCTTTGTAAATGTCTTATTTGTGTAATAAATAAAGTTAATGCAAGTAGAAGTGCTGGCACTCACCTCCGGAACACACTGGACTTTCGTTTTGTTCCTGCTCTCTGGTTGAGGACTCAGGCCCTGGCATCCGGAATCGCTGGCTGCTGGACAGTGCAAACCCCTTCTGGGGAAATGGGCAGGGCTTTTCGGTCAGTAAATGGAGCTACCCAAGTTTCTCTGTCTAGGCCGCATGGAGCTGGCCCTCTCGGGTACATGCTCCCTGCCGGGTCCTGGGCTGGCTCCTGGCCCAGAGGAGGCCCAGCAGGTCTGCCCAAGAACGGACACCAGAGGGGCCCTTCTAACGTGCGAGGGGCAGGGATGTGGCAGGGTGGGGCCGCTGGAGTTGGAGCCTGGCAGAAGGGGCACACAAGAGGTAGTGCCAGGGTGCCAGAGAGGGAGGCACAGAGGAACTTGTTTGGAAGATGGGAAAGAACTGATGTGATGGAGAGAAAGGAATGTGGGCAGGAAACGGCTCCAGCCAGCTACGTCTGGGTCTATGCTGGCCTTGCTGCTGGGTCCCAGGGCCGCTGCGTCACCCGGGGGAGCGTGCCCCTTGCTGCTGGTGGGCGAACTTAGTAGCAGAAGGGTTGGCTCAAGCCAAAGCTGGAGGGCGCGGAGGGGAGCTGCTCTGTCAGGTGCAGAGGCCCCAACAGCCTCTGACTATCCCTACCCCCCCCCGCCCTCCCCCAACCCGGCAGAGTCGCTGGGAACCTCAGCTCAGGGTGACTGTGGTCACTGCCCCTGCAGGGCCCCGCTCAGTAGTTTCTTCCTCTCCCAGTACCCATTTGCACCCTCCTGGTCCTCTAATCCATGTCTTAAATGCTGATTCTATGTGTATCTTTGCGAATAGTGTAGTCTCCGCTGTGGGTACGTGTGTGCATTTCTTTACATGAGTATACTTTCTGTTTTCACAACACTTGGAAACCCTTGTTGGAGCTCAACCCTATCTTTCTCCCAAGGTGACTTTGCCTTGGAAGGGAGAGGTGACGCCCCAAAACTCCTCCACAGCACAGATGAATGGGCCCCAGTCTCCCTTTGACTGGTTCTGACCCAGCATGCCACCCATGGGTCCTTCAGTCTGCCCCTGCACACCTTGGTGGGCCCCTCCCAGGCCCGCCCGCTCTTGGCCAGTCAAGGGCCACGGTGCAGGGCGATGGAGGTGGGGTCTGTAGGGCTCAGGGCAAAGTTCTAGACTGCCTCTAGGCACGTGTGGCCCTGGGGCAGTCACTCTTCTGGCTTTCAGCTGACACGGGTGATCTCTGGTGGCAGTTCAGCAGAACAATTATTCTGCAGGCACAGTTAAAGTATTCTTTAAAGCAAGCACACCATACAGCAACCCACTGAGCTCCTGCTCCTCGTCTGTCTCATTCAACCCGCACCGCTCCCCTGTGCTCTGAAGCATCGTTATGTCCGTTTTTCAGAGGAGGAAACCGCAGCTCAGAGAAGTGCCTTGTCCAAGGTCACATGATACTGTGGTCGAGCTGGTATTTGAAGGCAACTGCCCAGGACTGGTAAGGCAGGAACTTGGTATAGCTGGAAACAAACCAGCCAGCCAGACAGCTGGACTTCATCCTCAGAAGGACTTGGCGTCAAATGCTGGGTGATCTGGGGCCAGCCACTCAGTCCTTCTGAATCTCTCATTCCTCCACTAAGAATGGGGAGAGGCGATGCTTAGCCCTCTCTTCCAAGCCACCGGGAGGAACAAAACACACTCCACACGTGCTTGTTGCTCATTTAGTTCCATAGATCAGTCATCACTAGCTGGTGTTTCTGAGACTGCCAGATGCGTAAGAACTACTCAGCGTGGAAAGACTGCTAGACACCACTCCCAGAGATTCTGATGAGCAGTTCTAGGGGTCCAGGAATATCTAGCTCATCGCTTTCCCAGGCGCTTCAGATGCAAGGGATGTAAAAAGGCTGGCCCAAGAAAGCGTTTGGGAGAAGTACACTTGGGGGCCACTCACTGCAGAAAGCCTTTATTTTGAGCCAGTTTCTAGAACTGCATCCTCTCTGCCAGGCCGGCCAGGGCCAGCGGTGCAGAAGGAAACCTGTGGCAGAGACAGCAGAGCTTACAGCTTGGTCCTGTGGCCCACGATCTCGTCCCAGCCTTTCCGACACGTCCTGATGATCCACTCATGCTCATCGTCATCTGCAAGGCAAGAGGAGGGGCTGGTCAGGCCTGGGCTCCCGGGACCTTCCCTGCCCTGGGAGACCCCCGCTGGGGCCTCAGAACAGGGGGCCTCTCCAGGGCAGGGGGAGAGTGGCCTGTGTGACCAGTCTTTTTAGCTCTGTGTTAGATGGATCAGACCTGTGTACGAAAACCAAATCCTTCCGCCGCCGGCAGAGGCCAGGTCTGGGGGAAACTGGACGCAAAGGGCCTTGCTGTGTGTGCATGCGGCTGGTGGACGCTGTTCAGCCCCACCATCAGCTCAGTGCCAGGTTCCTGTGGACTGACATTATTTTATTTTTTCCCTTTATCCCCCAAACCCACACCCAGCTCACCCCACCCTCCCCACCATGACAGGAGTCCATTCTAATGGTGCAATTCAGACCCCTAGGAATGCATGCAGCTCTGTAAAACATGTACTGTGTTTTGTGTGTGAATGTGGTTTCAATTTACATAGATGGCATTGTGCTGTGAGTTTCATTGTGTCTTGCTTTTTTCACTCAACACTACATTTTCAGGATCTATGTTTGTTGCGACATGGACATCCAGTTCTCTGCTTCTTGCTGCTGCCTAACAGTCCATGGTGGGCTTCTGGCATGTTCTCTAGCCACCATCCCGGTGGTGGACACAAAGGTGGCCTCCACCTCCCAGTTTCCAGGAAAAACGCTGGGCAGACCTGCCTGGGTTTCTGGAAGGACTCCTCAGGTTATATTCCAGGGTGGGATGGGTGGGTCAGGGGCACAGAGTCACAGGCAAACTGGCCCACAGGGACCCCCACTGAGTCTGGGGGGTGGGGCTTGGAGAGAACAGTGCTGCTCAAGGCGGGAAGTGCGCTTGCTTCTGTCCTTACTCAGTGCCGGCGTGTCCCGAGCCCCTTCCGGAAAGCACCAGATGCAGCATCTGGGAGGAGGCTTTTTACCATCCTACTGTGTGCTTCTGCTTCACAATCACCAGACCTCAGGCGGTCTTTGTAAAAGCCCTGTAGAGTCTGGGACATCGCCTCCATTTGTAGAGGGGACGATCTTTGTCCCTGTGTCCACACCAGTGGGAGTCACACCAAGGACCACCAGGCCCTCCCACCCCTGGGCAGACTCTGGGGCCCGCAGGGGAGGCTGCACCCACAGAACTAGGCTTCTCTGGCCTGAACGTACCTCCTTTCCTTATTGCCCCGCTTACACTATTTCTTGGTGACCTAAGGAAAAATTTGCTGCCTTGCACACTCTGGCCTTTAAGAACTGTCCCAAGCGGCCAGTGGGCCTCAGTTTCGTCCAGGGAAGGTGCCTGGGACTCTGCGTGGCTGCAACCCTGGGGCCCAGAGCTCGTCGGTACACAAGGAGTTAAGTACTGGTGAAGCCCACTTTTGCCACACCGAGAGCAGCCTGGTTGATAATTACAGTTCTGAAGTCTCCAGGCTATTCGAATCAGTGCAGCTGCAACCTCTTCAGTGGTAACCCCTGAAACCAGACAAACTGGGTTTATTGTGCTGAACCAGTCCTGGGCCCCTCCCTGATCGTTACAAATTGACAGCAATGGACTTAACAGCCCTCTTCACTACCCCTTTCACTCTACCTGGCTGCACAGCCGCCAATTTGAATCACAGATGCCTCCCCGCCAGCTGCTCACCAACCCACCCGCCACCTCCCCATGCCTCACCAGAGCGTCCCCTGGCCCCACCACGCCAGGGTGAGGCCGCTGGAAGCGCATTTCATCAATATTTAAAATGGAATTAAACCTGCAGCTTTGATTAATGCCTCCCAGATCCTGGGAGTTGTGATTACTATTTTGCAAATTGCGATTGTTGGAATATGTTAATATGATTGTCTGAGAACATCTTCACCTTCTCAGATAATTTCCCCCCCCCCCACCTTTTTGGCAAGAGGGGAGGGTGGAGGGGAGGGAAAAGGATGGGGAAAAAACACCCCACAAACTCTTTAATCATTCGTAAATTATTACCCTCAGCACAATTGCCCTGGTTCAGAGGGCAAGCAGAGGGAGATTTCTGGTTTGGTGCATTTATCTTGAAAAGTTCTGGGCCCCATTGCTTGAGTGATTCCACTCTGGGACACGATTCAAAGGGAATAACCTCTTTGTCTCGGTACCTTTTAGAATCAAGAACACGGAAATCAACAACATGTCTAAAAACAAGAGAATGATTACTTGGTCACCGTTCATTCATTTGCCAGATAACTTCCAAGCAACCACTGTGTGAGTGCCACACTAAGCTGGGGGAAGCATGTGAGGCGCTAAGGGAATAGTTAGCAGCTACTGAAAAAAATATGGTTTGAAGGCTATACAGCAATATAGGGGGCTGCTGTTGCCATAACAACAACAAAACAACAATAATAAAAAGGCGGGAAAGGCCAGCACCGGAACTTCACAGGTAGTGTGGTCTGTACAGTTTGTGCACAGAGAAAATATTAAAGATAGCAAATCAAAATGTGAACTATGGGCAACTTGAGCATTGGGACCAGAGAGGCTCTTCTGCTTGGGGTCTTTCCCAAATCTGTCATGAAGGTGCATTGACAACAGAAAAATTGCAACTATTGACTTCTTTCCTATCCTCCAGTTGAATGCCTTGGGAATTTCCTGCATCTGATCATTGAAATAAAATCTCTCTGGATTCCTAGAAATGGCCACTGGATTTCTGAACGTCTGAAAAAGTTTGAAGGCCCCACAGAAAAGTACTGGTAAAAATGCCTGAAGATCTTTGACTTGCTCCATCTCCCAGAATTCCACATCATTTATGTGGGCTCTTGCCCTCAGAGAGGTGCAGCCTTGTTCCCCACACCTTGGGTGTGACTGTATAGAGTGCTTCCAGCAGAGAGGCAGGGCGGCAGCACAGAGAGAGAGGTGGGAGAGCCCTCTTCTGGTGGGGAGACCTGGCTTAGCACCTCAGGTGAACAGGGGTCAGCCCCATGGATGAGGGTACCCTCAATGGGAGGTTCTGACCGAAGCCTTTGTCCTCTGTGATTTTCCTCCCTAAAGCCCATCACTCCAGCCTGACCATGAGAAAACACCAGCAAAACCCTGGTCAAGGAACATCCTACAAAATACTTGACCAGATCTCAAACCTGACATCCAGACAAGGAACAGCCTGAGAACTGGTCACAGCCCAGAGGAGCCAAAGGGGGTCAAGTTCCCGAAATGTAAGGGGAATGGGTGAACCGGTTGGGGTCATAGAACAGGAAAAAGAACACCCGGGGAAGAAGAAACCGGAAAGAAGGAGCTCTCGTCTGCTTCAGGGCCCTAGTCTGTCATCACACCCGTCACTGCCCCTCTTCATTCCACCTTGATTCTGAGTGTGAAGATCGTAGTCAGTCTCTGTTCACCCATAGCAAGAAGCGCACCCTACAACCGAAGCTCATAGGGGAGCTGGTGTGGGGGATTACCTGGAATGTTCTGCACCATTTTGTAATAATTCTGGCAATGTGAAATGTGTTCTAAATAACTCATATATATAAATAAGTAAAAGTATGTGTGTGTGTGTGTGTGTGCGTGTGTATAAATATATAAATCAAGGGAGCTGAGGTTCATCTTGTTCTCTGAGAGGAGCCAATTTTTAACTCCCAACCATGCAAACTGAAGTCCTTCACACCCCCTCTCCCTTCTGCCCTTCCCCCCCAACGGTGAGCCTACATTCTTTGCACACTTCTGTGTTTGTTCTCTCTCTTCATGGGCCATCAGCTCTCACTGCAGGGGTCAAGTCTACTTGGGATCCCTGGAAACCCCACATACAGTAGGTGCCCAATACATGACTTGTCAGATGGAGTCTGGAAATTAGCCCGTCTGTCTTGCCGTCAACGCCACCAACAAACATTCCCTGAGCACCTCCTTTACCCAGACCTCAGTTCGGTGTCACTGTTTGGGGGCCCTAGTCTGTCATCACACTCTATCACTGTCCCTCTTCATTTCACCTTCTTCACAGCTTATGCCTCACGCTGCAGTTTCCTGTGTATTTACATGTTGTCTGTCTCCTGCATTCGAAGTGCAAGCTCCCTGGAAACTGGGAGCCATGACTGCTCATTCACCATGGTACACAGGAGCCTTGGTCCTTATCTACTGAATGAGTCCATCGATGAGTCCAATTCTGTGCCCAATGTGGGGTTCAGAGGGGACTGAGGCTAGGAGGGCTCAGGGTTGAGATTTAGGGTAGTCTGCCTTCAGGCAGAGATTTCTTTTTTCTGGTTCAGGAAGCTTTGGCCCTTGCTGCCACCTGCATCCTCTCCCCTGCCCTCCTCCAGTCCCCACAGGCTCCAGCCATCATTGGGAGAATCGACTACTTGTAGAGAAGAAAAGAAATTTGCTCTGAGAGGTCCCCCGATTAGACCCTGAGCACCCCTGTTGAGTAGGTCACCTTCCCCTGGACATCTGGCCCCTCCGTCAGATCCGCCTCTCCTCCAGCCTGCCTCCCTCCCTGGCCTCCTCACGCACACGCCTCACCCTGCAGTACCCAAGTGCTCCTGCTCATCAGCACCTCTTTGCCTTTGCACATGCTGTTCCTCTGGGAGGAACACCCTTCCATGCAGCACTGCTTCAGCTACAGGAACTCTCAGGGCTCGAGAGGCCCCAGATACTTCCCGTGTCTGGGCCTTTGTGTAGGTAAAAGTGGAGAAAAGCCCATATAAGAATGTAACAATCATGGTATATTTCAAACATACACTTGACAAAAGAAGGCTTTTAGTACAAACAACCGTAGGTAACAAAAGTGTGTAATTCCAGGAATTCCTCCAGAGAAATCTATAGCCACAGTGCGCCCAAAGTGGGTGGCCAGGAAAGGGGGTGAATCGAGAGTATCTGATGAGATGGGTCATCTGTGAGCCCTTGCGGATGTGTGTGGCCGAGGCCCAGTGTCCCGGCTGCTCATGACCCCTGCCTGGACGCCACCTCCCTTCACCCTGCCTGGGGCAGCCATGACTGAGTCACTGTAAGCACAGATCTGTGCTTAAGGAGAATTTAATAAACACATGGTGAGTGGATGAATA